ACGAAACACACAAACTCAAAAATGTTAAATATTTGTGTGCATTCAGAGATTCAGATACAGAATTTTATTGGTTTTATTTGCCGTCATATTTTTTTTTGTACTATATCTACCTATGCATATGACATTGTGTATAAATTTATGGAAACACAAACCTCGGCAGCGTTGCAAATGTGTGCATAACTTAACATCACTTTTGAATAATTTTGCTAACATTGAACCGTATTCCTTCGTTTTCTTAATACCGTAGTATATAACAAATAACTCACTAATTGAAACGCATATTTTCTGCTAACTACGGGTATAATTAAGTGGGTTATGTAATTCTTATACAGAAATCTAGTCTTGACATTTCATTCGAAGAAACGCAAAGGCCTTCCTTTTGATGGGAGAACCGTCGATTTGTTGAATGCCTACGCAACCTTGCAAGAAAATTTACATCGCGTATTTTATATTATCTATCTCTATTATGTGCACTGCTAAGCGAATCATGATACCACACTGCTGTGCACTGCACTGTATCAACTCACAAATTCGTAGTTTTCTGTAGCTTTTCCTACAACCTAGGTCATCTAATGTCTTCTGTCGGTAATGTAAGAGAGGTATGGATAGCTCGGACAAGATTATTTTTTAGTTAACTGCCTCTGTGGCCGAACGGTTACCATGCCGGACTGCTACGCAGTGGTCCCAGGTTTGGTTCCCGGGCCGGGAGAAATATTTGTATAGCCTACATTTATTTCTCTCGTGAGTTTGGGTGTAATTTGTGGTTGTCTATGTGTGTGTCCATGGCCCGCGACACGGGGTTTCCCTAGTACGGGGCTATGTCGAGTGTGTGCGTTTATTATTATTATTATCGTAAAACTAATAAGAGTGCAGCCACAGTCACGGCGGTCACGGCGGTGTGCAAGCGCAGTGTGAGAACTTCAACGACCTTATCTTTATCTGACCTCTAGTCTCATGGCCAAATGTGACCCTTCGAGAATAGGACTGACCTAACGATTGCCAATAACAACTTTTAACAATAAATTATTTTCATATACGTTGTTGCAGTGCGTGTATTTAATAAAATAAAAGAAATAGATACTGGCCTACATCACATATGTTGCTCTGGTCCCAAAGTAAGTAGCTAAAGCATTTGTGTTAAGGAAATCGGAAACAACGGCGGTACCACAAACACCCAGACCCGCGACAATATACAAAAGTTAGTTTTCTCCATGGACCCGGCCGGGGATTGAACCCGCGGCCTCAAAGACGGCGACGCCATGAAAACCGGTGTACAAACCACTCGACCACGGAGGTCTTTTTATATTTTAATTATATCAAATGACAGGACAAACACGATCGTGCGTCTGATGGTAAGCTACGCGCCTGTCCTAGCAGCTGCAGTGCCATTCAGGACTTTAAATCGCAAAGATCTAGATCTAGACAAGTAGTCAATAATATCTCAGTTAACTTGCGAATAGCTAATGTTTTTAAAAGTGATAAAACTAGGTATATTCTGAGCTGTTTATAACTATAACGTATCTTATGTAAGCTAATATTATGTAAAGACACATGATTGTTTAAGCCCTTTATTGCTCACGTCGACACCTCCTACGTAATGTATTGTAAAATAGAAAAATAGAGGCATCTTTTGTAAGTTATTATATTGAACAGTAAAATTACTTATTGTATTTATTTAACTAGTTTCCTAGCTCACTGATTAGTGATAAGTTACATAAACTATAATAATAACATTATAATTAAGAAGAAATCATAAACTTTTTTATAAAAAAAAAACAACCTCAGAAGTTTGTGGAATTACATCTACTCGTATTTTGGTACTGAATTGTTTATTCTATTATATATATGTATATATAGAAGCAGGTAGATCCATAAAAAAGTCAGAAAGTTTATAGATTAATAGAAAATTTCCTCGAGGGCCAGTCCCGTTGAGAACACGATATTATCCGAGTGGGATCTGACATGCGACCGCGCATGGTTAGCAAGCCTTACGCAGACGATATTGCAGATTGGTATCCTCATTGGGAGCATCTTGTTTGGTTATCTTTCTGACAGGTAAATTACTTATCTTCTTTTTCGTTGCACTCTTGTCAGAGCGGTCGTGGTCATCGCGGAAAACGTTTGTTAGGGGCTCGCCCTCTGTTAGTGGACTCCCTCGAACATTCATGCAAAGAACCGCCCACTGTAGACTTTATTCGGTCCGTCCATCGCTTTGGTGCCCATCCACGCAGTCTAGTGCCTTCTGCTCTGCACTACTCTACTCTGCCCTGCGTGCAGTCAACAAGTCGTGTGTCTGGTGGTAAACGGCTTCCAAAACGGAACACAGTAATGCTGACATTACTGCCTGGCAGCAGATATAGGAAAGGTGGCAGTGCTTCCCTGGACGAACTCTTGCACAAGGAGCTGTACTGCCTGTAAACATATACATTCATACAACAATAGACGTACGTCCACGACACCCCAAGCATTTCTCACATATAAAATTACTTATAAGACGTAAAAAATAATGAGTATGAGTACGTAGCAAAGTTTATTGCAAAATTTTTGCTAATTTTAGTCCTTCCAACATATTACAACATTCCCTTGTAAATTACGCATTTGGTCTTACGACTCTTTACGCAGGAGGGATAATAAAATTTTTTTAAAAGCATTCATTGATGGTAGTTCAACTCCTACACTAAAACAGTGGCAGTAGAGATCCTCGAGAAAGAGTTCGTCCAGGCAAGTACTGCCACCTTACCTATTTCTATCGCCAAGTAGTAATGTTAGGATTACTGTGTTGAAGGGTACGCTACGGGCGCACTGGCCGTGCCCCTCAGATGTTTGTGATTTAAAGCTCTGAGTGGCAGTGCAACTGTTATAGACAGGCGTGTAGCTTACCGTGAAGCGCACGACTTGTTCGTCCCGTCCCTCGACAGTACAAAAATAAAGTATGCACTCAATTGTCACTAAGAGAACACGATTTCACACAGAATTTAATACATGTTATCATTGACTTACAATTATATGGACGTCGGGTCCGCGCTAAAAAGTGTCCGAACTTATAGGGCGTTAAAATCGTATACATAGCGTCATTCACGCTTTAGTCTTCGTTTGTTCGACTGACAGCGAAGCAAGCAAAATTAGACAGTACTGCGATGACATTACAATTTAAATTCAACGTTTTAGCTTTTTCATATTCCTTTATATGTCACTACGTTTAAATAGGTTGACTTGGGACATTTTTTTCGTGATTTTTGTATTAGACCCGTCGTCCATTTATTTGTAAGTCAATGCATGTTATATAATAATATCTTACTCGCAGACGAGAACCAATATAGAAAAATTCATTCCCCAAATTGCCCTTTTGGGTCATAAAATAACACGAGTCCTTTGCAAGGAACCTATCTTAACATTTTAACGGTAACGGATTATAAATGAAATTGGGGCTACATTAACCGAGTTGTAATTTTGGCAAAATTTAATTATGTAAGTTAACACATCTGTAACATGATAAATATTTACGTTTGAAGAAAATTTGGCCGTCATTTTTAAATAAAATTAATAAATCAATTGAAATCCATTCTCTGTGACATTACAAGAAGTAAAATTGCCTCAGTGTAGCATCAAATTAGCGACAATTTCGGATCTATATCGCGTATATTTGTTTTTTCAAACAATCCTACATTTCCGGCACTTTCCAGGTACCACGGTTACGGTTTTCATTTATTTCAAATTCAATTTAATTTACTAACAATTCATACCTAAGGTTTAAATAGAAAGAACAGTATATTAAAAATAACGTATTTAAACTACCAAGAGGGTTATTATAGTGACAAACAGATGGGTTCTATTAACATTGAACATAACTTATTGGTGATTTTATCATCACGGCCAGCCGTGGCCATGCGACCTATAAACAGATGCGAAAAAACAGTTTCATTTGTGATGTGTAACAATCCTGAAACGAAAGAACTCGATAAAAAATAATTGTTAATAATAATAATTATACATGTAAGCTCAAAAGACGGCCAACAATTTCATAAAACTATGTTAGATTATGAATGACAGAATCGAAGAAACATCGCAAAGAAAAATGATCAAAGATAATAAACGAACTAAAATATTTGAGGTGTACTTGAACAGTTTCAAATCTCCAGCATGCCCTTGGTTTGTCTTCAAGACCGTATCTTATCACGTACAGATGAATAAAATTTGAAGAAATAATCTGTGTACCATTAAAATTACAAGTTCTTAGGTTTTCACGATTGTTACACATAGAAAATGAAACTATTTTTCTGGATTTAAGCAGCGTATACTCGTATTTGTTTTTAAAACAAACCAACGTTTTGGTCCCGTGGTCACGGTTGACTGAGGCGGTACAGTCATCAACCAGCTATGTCCAATATTAATGTAAACCATCCTATTTTTTCACTATACTTAAAAAAGTTATTAATTAAATACCTTATTTTTAATTTTACAAAGAAACATTCCAATTTACGCTGCATTACGTTTTAATCGTCTACCCTGTTGAACACAGGGAAACAGGGAAGATGGTTTCCCCGTATCACCAGTTTGGGATCCAGTATTTCCTCTGATGGAAATCCGAAACAGGCATAAGACTGCAGCACTAATTAATATGTTTTCATTTATTCTAATTTCTATTAATAATTAACAATAAATTTATCTCAATAAAAATTCATTCAATAAAATAATTAGTAAAACGTAATGTAGCGTAAATTGGAATGTTTCTTTGTAAAATTAAAAATAAGACATTTAATTAATAACTTTTGTAACTATAGTGAAAAAATAGGGGGGTTTGCATCAATATTAGATATAACTGGTTGAAGACTGTACCACCTCAATCAACCGTGACCGTTTACCGAAAAATAGTTTCATTTCCTATTAGAATACTGTACAATAGTACATACATGTACGATTAGACCAACTTACAAGTAATAAAAATTCTTCGTACAGGATACCTAATCAGTGTCTAAATAAATATTACAAATTTTTCGCAGGTGACAGCTGTACAGTGAAAACAAGCGATGCAGTTATATCAGTTTTATTTCGTACAATCTACCACTAAGAAGTCAACCAAAGGCTTTGAATATTGTTCTAAAATAAATATTTAAATTACTTAAGTAACTGAAACTCCGGATAGTGGCAACAAATTTGTCAACCGTTGAGAACTACACTAATTTATTGCGAAAACAAAAACATCGTTTATAACAGTGCTGAAATTCGGATTAGCTTTGTCTGTCTGTTTGTAAAAGTTATAACTAATAATTGAAAGCGCAAAAAGTGCCACATCAAGATGGTCCAACGACTTTCAACGACCGTATCTTCAACGCAAAAGGAAGATCAATTCGCGAAACTAGTCGGTGAATTTGGACTTTGGCAGTTCATTATTTTCGCTTCTGTGTCTATGGTGAAGTTGTCTTCAGGATGGGTTCAGATGGCTATTCTATTTTTGACGCCAAAAATGGATTACTGGTGCGTGGAGTTTGCAAATTCTACTGCAAACATCGCATCGTTACTGGCTGCGTTAGAAATTGGGCTGGTGTCGAATGCTACGTGTTATGCCGATTGCGTACGGTACGAGTACGACACCAGTCCCTTCGAGAACACGATATTATCCGAGTGGGATCTGATATGCGACCGCGCCTGGCTAGCGAGCCTCACGCAGACGATATTGCAGTTTGGGATCCTCATTGGGAGCATCTTGTTTGGTTTTCTTTCTGACAGGTAAGTTGACCACCTAGGGTAAAACCGGGACAGATGCCGCAGTGGGATAGATGCCTCGTTTTCAAAAAGCCTAACTTCCCCAAATCGAAACAAAGAATAATTAGTTTAAATAAGGAGTATAGACACCACTCATCAAAGTTCCTGCAGGGCTTCGTGTGGAATAGACGCGTTTGGCTTGTGCATGCGTTTATCTCCGCGACGAACACGATAAACGGTTCAAAATTTCAGACGCAAGTATTTACTGTCGCATAATTTTGTAAGTTATAACAAATTCCGTTTTATTTTTATTATAACTATACACTGGTTCATTAACTGCGCACCTAGGTGTCAATAATCGCTCTTTTGTATATAGCTTAGTTATATAATAAAAGGACATCTATCCATATCGAATAGGATAGACGCCTCGATTTTTTGCGGTATAGGTTAGGGGCAAAGGACAATACAAGAAAGTTAGGAAAAGAAAATAAAAAAATACATTATTTTAGTGAAAGACAAGTAAATGATAATAGTTTAAAATGGTTTAAACAGCGAACATTTTTGTATAGAATGTTTCGATAGCTACAAAAATACGAAGTGAAGTAGGTAGTAACTTTAAATACGTATATATTTATTATTAAAGATGTAATATGAATATACAATATATTAAAGATTACAAATAAAACATTTTATTATGAATTTTACTATTTGATTCTAAAGGGCATCTGCGTCATCATCATCATCATTCTTGGTATTTTCATTGTGTGGCGTCTATCCATATAGGTAGGCATCTATCCTCAAAAAAATAGGTTTACAAATAGTCGATTTCTTCAAAATCAGTAAATGTTAGATGAATAATATCATGTATTAATGTAATGTAAAAGACTAAACTAGTTATATCCATAGGAATTGTTCATGGTAAACTAATAATTTTTAAATTAAGAGGCCCTTTCAAAAAGTGGGGCATCTATCCCGGTTTTACCCTACTAACACCGATAATAATTAGGTCTGTATCAAAACATACGCTTAAAATTGTCTGTTGTAATAATACACTTATATATTAGATTGAAAGTTGTTATATCAATCGTCTATTATACATAGTGACCTTTATATCATGCAATAATGTGTCAAATGTCTGTATACCATAAATTAATAATATGACTAAAAATATGTCATTTGTTGTTATATATTACGTATCGCACCCAACCACAACATATGCACGGTCGTATTTTTTTCTCTTAAAATATTTAAAATAATAATAAAATACTACTTTCATTGCGCTATTTTGCATTGCATTGTGACTCACTGAATACCAATTATACTCCTGATAAATAACACAAAGACCCTACGATCAATGATATTTTAATTATGCTAGTGAACAATAATTTGCATTATGTCATTATGAACCGTAAATACAAGTATATTTAAAAAAAACGCAATAGTCTTATTTTTTTTTACACCGAATGCCTGTAGATAGCACAATAGATTAACAACGTCTATTGTCTCTGTGGTCATGGCATGTCTTCTAAAGAGTCTTCCAGTCGCGTAGGTATATGGCTGAATAAAAATACGTATTAATGAATCTATAAACCACTTTTATTTATACAAACTTTTTCTTTGCGTCAGAGACATTAACTTATTTTCAGATATGGCAGAAAAAACATGTTCCTGATATCGGTGATACTCTTAATAGGCCTTGGATTCGCGCTGCCCTTTTCTCCCAGTTACGTCGTTTTCACGACGCTCAGGTTCTTCCTGGGCGTGGCGTCAGCAGGTACCATGGTTATCTCCTTCGTCATAGTCATGGAAGCAATTGGTCCTAGGTAATGAAATACAGTATACCGCAAAAGACCTCTACGCAGTATTCCCTATGATCATTAAATGAGCCACATGTAGTCATTTATGTTCACCTTCCTAAGATGCACTTGCCATGGATACCTACTATCCAATTCCCGATCACCTACACAGCCAAAATTTATAAATATTTTACGTTATGCCTGTTTAATACGTGATATAAATTGCAGCTACCGGGAAATCTTCGGTTGCCTGTTTCAAATTCCGTTCATCATAGGACACATGACAATACCCGCATTCGCATACTACTTCCGCAATTGGGACACCTATTTACTGGCATTGGCAGTACCCCCGGTCATGTATATAAGTTACTTTTGCCTTCTGAGTGAGTCGCCTCGATGGCTGTTGAGCTGTGGACGCGTCGAAGAGGCTACACGCATTGTCACTAAAGCCGCAGCAATGTAAGTATCAGTGTCTCATACTATTACTCAGATTCTTATATTGTGTCACAATACTCTTCCCTACAAATTAAACTACGTTGAAAAATGATCTGCTCCCCGTGTATGCTGGGGTGATTTGCTAAACGTCAATCGACGTCGACCTCTGCCTCGGCGCACAGCGCTGTGTGTGACGGGTATAAACGTTGTGGTATGTATGTGTGTGGTAGATCGCAAAATACCGTCAAAAGTTGATTCGTCGCCTGTGGCGCCTGGCACTGAGTGTATATTCAAGAATTGCTACCTTTTGACCAGCCCATCTGACGTCAGGATGGCTGGTCGCCTCTTTGTTCAGCATTTTCCAGAAGTATGTATTACCAATAATTGCTACCTATTTGCTACCTTTACGAATTAAAGGTATACGCTTCATATCTACATTAATTTAAAAAATATAACCGATTGAAAATTTTGCGAAAAAGTGCCTGACTAAACTAAAAAGCAAAAGTTTTTAGTGCTTTATTGCCATAATATAAAGGGCAGGCGTTCAACAATTACTTCGAGGTGAACTAGTCTGGTGAGGTGTCTGATGTATAAAACAATATTAACGAAGAATTTAGTTGTAATTACATATTTGTTAAATAAATTATATAGTTTTAATTTTTTAGCAAAAGTATGAACAAAATCTTTATCGTAGTTTGTTACAGTGCACTTATACAGGGCTATTTTATTCGAAGGCCAGTTAATTATAATTTTTGTGTTAGCCTCACATTCTTTGCAAATTCCTTGCACGTTATTTTATTATTCTTAGAAATAGAATACTGTTTAAATATCCAACTGCAGACTGGGATGAACCTCCCAAATCTTTTCGCGCAAAAGATGGGCGCACTGATGCGTAGGCAAGCGATGTTTCATTCTAAATACAATCTCAGGTCCATGATTTAACTTTATACGTTTACTTAACGGTTGCATTCGTTCCCACTGATAGGTACCAATAATAAAATTATAAATTACTATTGTACTGACTGCTACTTCGTCCTTGTATTCCTTTTTTGATTGATTATCATTAGACAGAATTTTGTTTGGATCTTCATAACGAACAGCAGGCAGCTGATAATTCAGGGCCACTGAAGAAAACGTCGAAATTTTTCTTTGCAGAAAGATATAGTGTCTGTGTGGAAATTTTATGTGATAAAAGGGTACTAATTTCACTAAACAGTGGAGATGGCGGTAAGTCAGATTTACTGGAAAAATACTTTTTTTGCAGTAATGCATTTTTTTGCTCATCGAGTGGCTTCAACAACAAACTTCCTTCCTCTCTTCGTTGTCACCAAACATTACTTAAACCAGAAACATAAATATTAAACTCAATATCAGCAATAGCAAAACCTTTGAATCCTCAGATAAATTAAACTAAAACAATTTGATCCACTTATGACAAATGATACACATATTGCGTTATGATGGTTATCTACCCTCTCGGTTTTATACATCAGCAACCTCACCAGACAAGTTCGCCTCGAAGTAATTGTTAAACGCCTGCCCTTTATATTATGGCAATAAAGAACTAAAAACTTTTGCTTTTTTAGTTTAGTCAGGCACATTTTGGTGAAATTTTCAATCTGTTTTTTTTTAACTAATGTAGATATGAAGCGTATACCTTTAATTCGTGAAGGTAGCCAATTATTGGTAATACATACTTCTGGAAAATCTGCTCCATTCGCTAAATAAAGAGGCGACCAGCCATCCTGATGTCAGAACGGCTGGTCAAAATTTTTTTTAAATTTCTCATAATATATCATAGGTAGCAATTATTTAGAAACGGTAGTAAATAGTAGCAATTAGGTAGCAATTCTTGAATATACACTCAGTGCCAGATGCCACAAGCGACCAGCCATCCTGACGGTTAAGACATAGTCAAGCCTATAGAATATACATTGTGTTTCTGACATCAATAAGCGAAGAACGTTTAGAAGCGACATTTACGGTATACGTGATTAAACGTTCCTGGGTCGAACGTGTTAACTGTAAATATGTATGCTCAAAATTGGATGTACGTAGAATACGACTAAAAATCTTATTTTAATAGCACCAACATTATATTTTACAGGAACAACCTACCGCTAATGAACATAGAGCAAACCTTAATAAAATTGTCGGTGGATCGGAAATCCTGCTCCAGGGAAGTCAAACCAAACTACCTGACCTTATTCCGACCCTCGCTGCGGCTGACGACGATATGTTCGTTACTTATGTGGTTGGCTTTAGGCTTCATTTTCTTTGGTCTCAATCAGTATATTAGCCACACCAGTAGTAACCCTTTCGTGAGTGTCGCAGCTGCTGGAGCTATTCAGGTAACAAAGTAACTACTGGAGTTTATCTACTTTATTTTACTTGTGCTTTAGGAGATATGCGTAAGCTTCTTTTAGTGCCTTTCTTATATCCACTACTTACTAAACTATACACTAAGATAATATTAAACAAATAGCTCATTTGAAATTACGTCACTTTCAGATACCTGCAAATCTGCTCTCCATCTATCTGATTAGGTACTTCGGGCGGAAATTTACCACATCCTTCTTCTTCTGCATGTGTGGGGCATGCACTATCGCTCTTGGAAATGTACCAAACCTCACCTTCTGGATGACCCTGCTCCTTGGTACTATGGGAGTAAGCTTTGCAGCTATAGTCGCTGCATCGATTTATATTTACACGTCAGAATTATTTCCTACTGTAGTGAGAAACATGGGCTTGGGAGCGTCATCCATGTCCATGAGAATCGGTTCAATGATAGCACCTTTTGTAGTCAATTTGAATACGACAATAACGTGGTTACCGACATTGGTTTTCGGTGTAGTTCCTTTAGCGGCTGGACTTGTCGTTTTACTATTACCCGAAACTAAGGGACGAGCATTACCTGATAGTATACAAGAAGCTCAAAATATGAATTGAATGGAATAAAATCTTAGATTAATAAATAAACAGTTGTACTATATTATTGGTTCAAGTTTTAATATAGATTCCTAGTTTAATGTGTCTTAAAAACTTCAATAATAGCTCCTTAAACGTGAAACAGTAGGAAAAAAGTCATGCAATTGATAGAAATAAGGCTTGGCTTAAAGAATTATATATTTAATTTGTGTAAATTTTAAAGAAATGAAGCTAAGAATAGTACATTATCGGTCTGAGTATAAGTTACAAGGCCAAGCGCCTGCGCGGCCTTCTATTAATATGAGTTAAGCAATCCCTGTTCCCGTCGAGGCTTATATAGTGCTTTTCTCAAACAATGATCCTCATATTGTTTGAGAAAAGCAGTCGTCAAAGACTAAAGAGAGGAAGAGACGTATACGTATTATAATAGAAAAAGTTAAAAAATATTAATGGATATCAAAAGTAGGTGGTAATAATCGAAAATGTTATTGTTTTACCAGGCATATTAATATTAGCTTGCTGAACTTCTGATGATATCGTCCTCCAGTGCATGAAAGTTTCATAAGTTTGTATGTAGCTTACATTACGTTTGTCGTACATTATGTAATATAGGTGTATATTATTATTATTCATATTATTGTTGACATTAACTTGACAACGATTTTAACTAATTTTAACTAACTTAAATTATTTTAATTCGTTCCAAAGTATTCTTTAGGATCTTCTAATGCTATTTCCTAGAAGAGAATTAGTAGCTCCTTGTTCATCACTTCTCTGAATGCATTTTCGTATCCATAGTTTCTTGTTACACAAGTTTCTTCTTCAACTTGTTCTAAAATAGCCACTGCATTAATCTAAAGATTAATAAGCCATTAGATTAGATAAATAAGATAAATAAGCCATTATTTATTTATTTAGCTTATTTATTTTTTTGCATCGACTTTCAATGACTAATATAAATTTGTCGACGTCGATATCCACTGCAGAAAATTGTATCTGTCCTTACGCATAAAAATTTGCACTGTCGTGCGCCACGCACTCATGAAAACTTTAATAAGACGTGTTTATTGTTGAATTTATGGTTGTTTAAACAAGAATACCTCAAATTGAGAATTGTTCAGCATTTTATTTTTATATCATAATCACATTCTCGTGATAGAGATGCCAATCCGCGATACTAGTACTGAAAAATACAAGTAGAAAATACTGTGATGAACATCTTGACTTTTTCAAATTATGT